CAGACCAGATGAGACATGTAATCCCTCCAGCATGTTCTGGGTCTGCCCCAGGCCTCCTACCAGTGGGACGTGCCTGGAACACCTCCAAGGGGAGACGCCCAGGAGGCATCCTGATCACATGCCCAAGCCACCTCAACTGACCCCTTTCGACACGAAGGAACAGCAGCTCTACTCCGAGCTCCCTCCGGCTGTCTGAGCTCCTCACCCTATCTCTCAGGCTGAGCCCAGCGGAGGAAACTCATTTCCACAGCTTGTATCCTCAATCTCATTCTTTCGGTCACTACCCAGAGTTCATGACCATAGGTGAGGGTTGGGACGTAGATGGACCAGACCTTTAATTCCCTTTACACAAAACTGTTGCTCAGCAAAGTTCGGAAATACGATGTACGAAATATGAAGTTCTTTACTTGAACTAGTATGACTATGACATATTAATTTTGTGCTATGTTGTGACACTTGTTACACAGCACCTGAGGATAACAGCTCCCGGCATACTGACACAGAACCACTTTATCTGGTTAAAGCAATATTTATAACTTGGATTAATTTTTATGAAAAACACTTGATTCTTCTGAATCCTGGGTAATCAAGGGTTGGACACATTTTATGACTTTGTGACAGCTTCAGAGAAAGGGAGTCACCACTTGTTTTTTCGTCATGTCAGTAAATCTACATGAATTACAGGCTAGTGAAAGGGACTGGGCGTTTAATTGGGACTAGGCGTTTAGTTGAAGTTTTTATGGTATGACAAGCATCCCCAACTGCGCTTTTCATTCTTTTGCTAGCATCTAAGCTAACAAGAAAAACACAATCCAAACTAAAGCCTTCCCTCAATACCTCTTAATGTTAGTTACTGCTTTAACTACAAACCCATTGTGTAAAAGTCTAGAGTTGAAACACAGAAGAGCTGGATATTTTGATTTTGACATGAAAAACACTCTCACCTCAATGCCAAGTGTCTTAAGCCTGACATGACCCTATAGGTGACCTCTGAAAACTCCAAAAAGAATTAGGTGCCAACATTTTTAACAGCACACTTTAGGGAGTAAATGAACATGACAACCAGCCCATGTGACAACCAACCCTGCTCTCCCAGAGGCTATACTTCAATAAGATCCACTGTTGAGCCATATGACCTTTCAGAAAAATGACAATATTAACACAGCAAATGTCTGCACAAGTTGTAGTGGAATAGTTAATTTTTTGAGTGACAATATGTGATGTCATTATTTGTCTTTGTGATACATAATTCACACCAAGCTCTGTCTGAGCAAACCAGAGAAAAATGGATTTTATGTATCTTAAATAATGTGCTGCTTTAAAACATTATCGCAGTTTGAGACATCATTATTTGAGTAACAGTTGGACAGCGGATGTAATGATAGTTTTTTTTTTTTTAAAGATATTTTTTTGGGGCTTTTAGCCTTTAATGGATAGGACAGACAAGTGTGAAGGGGGGAGAGAGAGGGGGTGCAACATGTAGCAAAGGGCCACAGGCTGGAGTTGAACCCGGGCCGCTGCGGCAACAGCTTTATACATGGGGCGCCTGCTCTACCACTAAGCCACCAGCGCCCCAGATGTAATGATAGTTATTTTTTTTGTAAATAAGTGTATGAAAAAAATGTATCTGGAACAACTTAATAAAAAATAAAGCAGAGAATCTGAATGTCATTCACACAGATTTAGAGAGAAAGAGAATTGTTGCTTAATAATCTGGGGAATTGAACTCCCTGGATTAAATCTGTGGTGACAAGTCTTGGTGTGAGCCTTGATTCAGATCTAAGCTTCAAGTCCCACATTAACAAGGTGACAAAAGCATCATTTTTCACCTCAGAAACACAGCTAAGGTACAACCATTTCTAAATGAAAAAGATGCTGAGAAATTGATTTATGCCTTTATTGCAAGCCGACTTGACTACTGTAATACACTTTATACTGGCCTCCCAAAAAACACCACTGAGAGACTTCACCTCTTTTAAAACTCTGCAGCTCTGCTACTAACCAGCACCAAGAGGAGAGAACACGTCAGGCCAGTCTGAACTGCTCTGCACTGACTTCCTGTTACATTTAGAACAGATTTAAAGGTATATATATCTATACAAAGCCCTAAAAATAGGCTTTGACCCAGCTACATTGCTAACTCCCTTTTAAACTATTTGCCTCAAAGAACACTGCGGTCATTGCTGCTGGTTTATTGGAAATTTCCAGGAACAGCTGGAAGAAGATTGGGGATGCAGCCTTTGTCATTTCTGCCCCTGAGATATGAAACACACTACCTAGATATCAGGGGCGCCAGCTGGCTAAATATTTTTAAAAGAAAGTTGAAATCTGTTGACTTTAGCCTTTAACTTGCTCTGACTTCCTGAAACAGGTCTGAAACTCTTTTTTTTAACTTTTACTTTCTTTTTACGCTTCATACTGCTGCAACTCTTAAAATCTTACTTGATATTATGATTTATAGTTTTACAACTCTATGATTTTATAAATCAGTTCTGCTATTATTAATGTAGAGTTGGCCTACCTTAACACATTTTAAAAATGCTCAGTTACTAACTTTACCTTTTTGTCACTTCAGCAGAAAGTCCTCAAATACTAGTCCTACTTGCTGTACAGGGGTGATGGAAATCTGCTGTGGTCTACTTACTTACCAAAAGGAATCAGGTAAATGGCTGAAAACAACAAAACAGAGTCTAATTTGACCTTTTGTCTGGATAAATCATACAAGACTTCCTATTAGTGAATGTTATGATATTAATAACTACAGCATGGTTAACAGTTAACAGTATCAAATCATTTAGATATTTATATTTTTGTTTTCGTATTTTCTGTGTGTTGGTGTGTGCAAAATGTCTGGGTGTATTTGTCCATGCAAATGTGTGTTTGGTTATCAGGGAGGCAGCAAGCAGCTTCTCTTATCAGTTATTAATTGGTCAATAACTGCCAGCTGTTTCTATGTCAGTTCCTCTAAAGAGCATTGAGGTGGAGGTGGAGGTGAGGGACCATGTGGCTACAGTGGTCTCCACTCTGAACTATGAGAACAAGGAGGACAAACCAATAGAGGCATTATTTGTCTTCCCTCTGCCTGGAGATGCTGCTGTCTGTCATTTCAGTGCTAAGATTGGACAAAAAGAGATTGTAGCTGAGGTGAAGGAGAAACAGAAGGTGAGCTGGACAGCAGAGACTAACTCACTAAAATGGAGCTTAAAAACACAGCAAATGTTGCTCACATGTGTCGTCTGTACTCCAGGCTCGAGAGGAGTATGATGATGCACTGAGCTCCGGTCAGCAGGCCTTCCTGTTGGAGGAGAGTGAGCAGAGTCCAGATATATTCTCTCTGAGTGTGGGCAGTCTGCCTCCAGGAGAGAGCGCCTCCATCAGGCTGGAGTACGTCACTGAGCTGGCTGTGCAGGCTGATGACGGGCTGAGGTTTTGTCTGCCTGCTGTGCTCAACCCTCGCTACCAACCTGAGGGTAGGAAAACCAGCCAACACCTTCATCATGAGCCCTGACAGTCAAAAGCCCACCTTCACAACAGTGACAAAACACTTCAGCTCAAAACATTTGCAACAAGCTGTTAATTCTCATACAACCTGCCAGCTGTGCCCAGGGGTGAACATAAAACCAGTCGTGTGAAAATAAAGTCAATGATAATGAGATCAAGTTTCAACTTGACTCTCCAGAATAAATACACATCACTTGCAAGAGCTGCTGACAAAATGATGCACACATGATGTTTTTCTGAAGCCATAGAAAGATGAACATGACATTTGAAGAGCACATTTTCAGATTCTGGTTCTGGACTTCGTAAAATGTTTGGGTTGAGATGAATGTAGTGTGTTGACACTTACTGTGCCTGTTTAGTTTTTATACAAGCTTTAAAAATGTGACTGAAATGAGAATAAAGAACTGAAGAGGGAGGTTCAGTCTGTCTCAAAACCCAATATTTCCTTTCGTCAATTACCTGACTAATGGAGTGTTTTTATGTCTCCATGCTGCTGATAGTCGTAGCCAGAGGTATCTTGTTTTCAGGTCTGCCCGATGGACGTTCCATTCTTGTGAATGTGATATCTTAAGAATGCCTTGAGGGACTTTATCCAAATTTGGCACAAACGTCCACTTGGAGAAAAGGATTAACTGAATAGTCTTTGGTGGTCATACGTCAGAGATCAGGGTCACTGTGATCTCATCTGTCTTATTCCCATGAATGCAATATCTCAAGAGCACCTTGAGGGTATTTTCCCAATTTTGCACAAACATTCATTCGGTCTTAGCGATGAACTAAATAGATTTTGGTGGTCAAAGGTCAAGGTCATCGTGATCTTGTATCTGTTTCTCTGTTTATTCTCGTGAACGTGGTATCTCAACAACAAGTTGAGGGAATTTCTACAAATTTCGCACAAAAATTCACTTCATGTCAAGGATGAACTGATCAGAATTTGGTGGTCAAAGGTCAAGGTCACTATGACCTTGCGTCCATCTCACTTTGTGAAAGCGATAGCTTAAGAACACCTTGAGGAAATTTCCACAAATTTGGCACAAAGGTCCACCTGGACTCACAAATGAACTGATTCTAATCAGTTATGTCCCAAAGGTCGCAGGTCAATATCACTGTGACATCATAATGTTCCACAAAAACACTTTCCTGGACATTACTCAACATCATAACTCAGGAACAGGAGGGGAGACAATTTGGTCAGATACTGAATTGGTGTCACTAATCTTGGAGGCCTACCTTGTAACTTTGATAACAAAATAGAATATCTGTGCTGCTGGGGACAGGGTGTGTGTGACGAATCCATGTTTTCACAGACATGGGTATAAACTTTACCTTGACAGGTTCGTGGAGGCATACGACCACAAGGCGGTAATTCTAGTTCCACTATATGCCAACAGCGCCTATTAAGATTGTATAAATGTAAGATTTTTAGAACCCACTGTGACACACTTAGCTAATTGATGAAATTGTCAAGTAGCTTACAGAAATTCTCAGTCACTTGAGCTCAGATGCTCTTTTTGGTTTAAGATTATTTTAAGGGACTTGAAGAGTAATATGATGAATAAAGTCATTGAAAATTCATTCACATAAAAGTATTGTCATTAAGTGGTATTGTCCATTCATTATTATATTAAGAGATGATTATATTAATCGGAGGAGAAGCTTAATTTTGCATTACTGTGTCACATCTTTTCTTGGTCTTTCAATGTCCTGTCCCATGTATTTGTTAGCACCTCAGCAATATGCATGTATTTGTTTGCCCTATGTCCCCAAAAATTACTTCAAACGTGTCTGTTCTTGTTCACAGGTAGTGAAGGTGCCAGTGTCCAGGTGATCTGTGTTCCAGCCTCTCTGGTTCCCTACAGTCTGTCTTTCTCTGCCCGACTGTCCTCTCCTCGTCCAGTCTCTAAAGTAGAGTCTAACTGTTCCCTGGATCCTCTCCAGTACCTCAACACAGAGCAAACCCAGGCCACGGTAGCTACTGTACAGTGCTGATGTGTCTGCTGTGTGTGATTGTTCCTCAGTACTGAGAACAAGATGTATATGACTTGATTTATATTTCTGAGTGTGTTTTGTGAACTGCAGGTCAAGTTGGCCGCAGGACACAAGTTTGACAGAGATGTTGAACTGCTGATTTATTACAAAGATGCCCACCAGCCCACTGCTGTGGTGGAGGCAGGACAGGCGTCTGCCAAGCCTGGTGAGTGCAAATTAGTGAAGATGTGTTAAATATAAGAGGTAATCATTTTTATTTTTGTATAGCTGAGTCACGTATGTTGTGTTTCAGGCACTCTGATGGGTGATCCAGTAGTGATGCTGAGCCTGTACCCTGAGTTCCCCCAGGCTGTGATGTCTTCAGTCGCCTCATGTGGAGAGTTTGTGCTCTTATTGGATCGATCTAGCAGTATGTCGGGGTCATGTATGAAGAGTGCCAAGGTATTCATTGTGTCATTTGCTATTTTTATCATTAAATCATCCAATGTCTCTCTCACACAGCAGCCTTTATTATCTTTTCTCTCTTCCCTGGAGGATACTCTGCTGCTCCTGTTGAAGAGCTTACCAATGGGCTGCTATTTCAACATCTACAGTTTCGGGTCCTGCTATGAACACATCTTCCCGTAGGTCCTTAATGTCGTTCAGACCACAAAATAAACGCCTTTGGTATCACTGCCTGTGCATGTATATATGTGTATATACATATATACATATATATGTGTGTGTATGTTGATGTAAATCGTGTGAAAGCACTCGTGTGTTTATTTCATGACAGTAAGAGTGTGGAGTACAGCCAGAAGACCCTGGAAGAGGCTCTGAAAAACGTTGAAGTGATGGACGCTGATCTGGGAGGAACAGAGATCCTTCAGCCCCTTGAACATATTTACAGCCAGCCAACCATTCCCAATCAACCTAGACAAGTACTAAACATGCCACACACACACACACTCACCCATCACAGAAAGTGAGTTAGTAAGTAGCTAACAGTGGCCCCTTGATTAAGTTGATAATGTTGCAATCATTGGGCTTCATGCGGGGCTACATTTTCTCTTAATTTTTTTGTTAAGAGAAAATATAAAAGAAGTTATTCCAGATGCATCAAATGTTCTCAACCATCCAAATCTGCTCTTTGTGCTGAGTGATAAATCCCATTTGATCATAAGTAACCTATTAGCATGGGTAACGACCCCTAAACACTATAGCAGGAGAGGTGATGCTGAAGAATTGGAGAAATGCCACCAATACAGAGCGTAAGACGAATTGTTAATTTGACGAGTTACAGTGAAATCAAAAACCCAGCAAATGCAAAACAAAATGCATTTTAAAAACTAATTGTTAACAGGGTCTAACACAGGTTTCAGAGAACACGTTTGGTGACTCAACACATGCTGCATGTTTCTGGGTGTGATGTAACTTCGAGTGACATGTAAACTGTCCTCCGCAGCTGTTTGTCTTTACAGACGGAGAGGTGGGGAACACCAAACAAGTCATCAATCTGGTGAAGAAGAATTCAGGTTCCCACAGGTGAAACCACAAAACATGACAACCATCCACAAAACTCTTAAGTGCTATATCGCAGGCAACTGGATGTGGTCGAGTTTCTTGAAGACCTTTTACCTCTGATCCAAGAGGCTTCTTCAGAGAAGATTACCATTACCTGGATGGCTGAGAATCTTCATCAACATGTTGCTAAACAATTTGGGAAGAATCCCCTTCGACTGGTACGGGAATTTGAAAGAACATCTAGGAAGCTGGCTGATTACAGATGATGACAGAAACCACCTGCATTACAGTTTGAAACTCCAAACAGCTTACACTTGGGTTCAACTGTGAAAGAACACAGGGCTGCAACCATCCTTTAGAGGGCTCACAACCAGCTGCTCAATGAGAGAGAGGAGACAGATTCATGTCACCATTCTGAAGACGCCTCTTGAATAAGAGGTGAAACATCTTCAAGAAACCCAAGCAAGTTCAGTTGACTTCGATATAGCACTTAAGATTACCATGATATGGATGACTGAGAATCATCAACACTGACAAAACTCTCAGAATATGTTCTGTGTTTGATGCTTTGTGTACTTAAAGAAAACTCCTGTATTGTAGGTGTTTCTCTTTTGGAATTGGGGAAGGGGCCAGCTCTGCTCTTATCAACGGGTTGGCCAAGGAAGGAGGAGGTCACGCTCAGTTCATCACAGGGAAAGAGAGGATGCAGCCTAAAGTAAGACATATAAAAGAAACAAATGCAACAACTTTATATTTTAGACAGAAATCATGTTTCCATATCAATAAGTAAGTGAAAACCCAGTGCTTCTCTTGACTTATGGCAAAAAAAAAAAAAAAATCCTCAACAGGTGATGCAATCACTGCGATTTGCTCTCCAGCCAGCTGTGGTGGACGTCTCAGTCGAGTGGGATGTGCCAGAGGGAGTTTCTGTTGGTGCTCTCTGCCCACCAATCACAACACTTTTCCAGGGTCAAAGGTCGCTGATTTACGCCCAGCTTACTGGACAGGTAGGAGCAGCATCATCTCATAGTGAAATATCTATTTATGCCTCCACGCTGGTGACATCTGTGGCTGATAGCATTATGATTTCAGGTTGTCCGTTTGTCCCATTCCTGTGAACCCGATATCTCAAGAGTGCTTTATAGGAATGTCTTCAAATTTGGCACAAACATTGACTTTGACTCAACAATGAACTGATCAGATTTTGGTGGTCAAAGGTCACTGTGATGTCACAAAACATGTTTTTGGCCATCTCTCAATAATTCATACACTTATGACAAAATTTCACACAAATGTCTAATATAATAAAATGGTTAATTGTTGACATTTTATATCCAAAAGGTCAAAGGCCAACTTCACTGTGACATTATAATGATCTTTTCTGGCCACTATTCAACACCATAACCCAGGAACAAACAGACATATTTGTTCAGATACTGAATTGGTGACATTAATCTTGGGTTCCCACCTTGAAATTGTTTTAATGTAACAGAGCCCCTGTGCTGCCAGGGAGAAGATATGTGTGAAGCATCCACGTTTTAGAATATGTCATTTCTTTGCAGCAAAATAAATCCATATTTGAAGCGTTGTCAATTGTCATGTCTACATGAGTCTTGGCAGACATGGATTTAAATTGTAACTGCAACTTGACTGCTTTGCAGAGACATACAACCTGCCCCTCAGCAAACTATATGACTACATTATATGTCTTTTTATCCAGTATGTGATTTTAACAAACATGTTTTAACTCTGTGATACTTTCTCAGAGTTCAGAGGCAGCAGAGGGCTGTGTGACGGTAAAGTACAGCCTTGCAGGTCATCCCTGTCAGAACCAGCTTCACTTCAGTCTCACACCTGCAGATGACACTGGGTAGTGAATTTACAATTAAAATATGAAGTTAATGTTCAGTTCAATGACAAATATTAACATATTAAGTGTCTCAGTGAGAACAACGCAGAGATTGCCTTTGAATGTAGTAATTTTGTTTTTAAAACAATGTGAATCACAAATGCAAAGTGTGAATTTTAAGACTGTTGGCAGAAATAAAACCACATTTTTAGGGTTTGTATGATGTGGCAGAGTGGAAAGCAAATTGCTGATGCTGTTGTGATATTGTTGCACTTCTGTGTTTAAATCTGAATTGGTTAATTCTGGCTATGTGGACCTATAATAACATTGGTTAGACATATTTGCACTCATAAAACAGTAAGATAAGTTTCCTCTGTGTTCATGCCTGCCTGCAGATTAACAGTTCACAGGTTGGCTGCTTGGACTCTGATCCGCTCCCTGGAAGTCAAGGAGGAAAAGGAAGGAGGAGATGAGGAAGTGAAGAAGACGGTGGTGGAGCTCAGTGTCCAATCAGGAGTGAGCAGCGCCTTCACTGCCTTTGTTGCTGTCAACAAAGGCAACGGCGAGGCGATTCAAGGACCTATGGCTATTGTAAATGTCCCAGTATCCAGTGAGTGTTATACCGACAGCAAAAGAATAATGAATGTGTTTTACAATGCTTTTATATTGATTTTGTTTGTTAACCAGGGTTGATTCTTCAGTGCTGAATACTTGTGTTTTTTAATGCCCAAATGTGCCTTGGATGAAATTCTCCAGATTTAATGGTCTACTCTCTTTTTCTATTTTTATCTCAAAGGTTACAGATTTCTTTCTGGTTATGTGTGTGCTCCCGATGACCCTGTGCTATTGTCTACAGAATTTGGTGCATAGTACAAGTTCATTTGTTATTTTAACATAGCTTTTCTTAATACATAAAAACATAGCAATACAATACACGTAAGGCATTTAAGACAATAAATTGCAACAAAACAATTCATTTCTCTGGTAAAAATGGTATTAAATATTTATTTGCATTTCACAGTATCGTTACTTATGATAATATACACATCGCTTATGGAAAGACACTTCCTATAAGCAATGTGTCTTGGAGGGAGCTTTCAAAGAATATGGACACAAAGGGATTCTGCCAGGGAAAATTAATCCTGCCTTAATAAACTTAATCTTTGTTAAAATCACAATACCAAAAGCGTAGCACACAAGGAGTGTCACATTCTTAAGCACACCTCTAAACCTTTTAACAGCTGACATTTACTGGGGCACTTGATGGAACTGAGCTATCATACGGCCTCATGCTCTCTTCACTGTAACGAAATTTGTTCCACCCATGCTGTTCTGTCCAAAAACCAAAATGAGAGAGCGAGCCTTAAGTTGACACGTGTTTCTTCTCCGTCAAAAAAACCTCACACTGAATCCTCTTCTTAGGGAAAACAAAAATGTTTGTTTATTGATCCACGTTGTCTTTACAGTATAAACTTGCTCAAAAATACAAAATCCACCAAAATATCTACATTCCCCAACACGGTCGGAAAACTGTGTGGCTCCGCTCTCCACACATGAGCAACTAACTAACTTTTCTCCTCTGTCCATGCATGGCAAAGCTGCCGGTCTCTTCTTAACGAGACAGTAATATATTTCTCCTAGTGACTTTACTTCTAACTCACATGCATAAATGTAAATAGTAAACACTACTAAGTATTATAATTGCACAGATTACATGCATTGTACAAATTAAACAAATAACATGTACATATGTAAATATTGTAAATATGTGAATACTGCGTGGCTCTTAAATATGAGTTTGGCTCCTACATCACCGGCCCCTAATTGTTCTCAAGAGGCTTGAAACAATTACTTACCTTAAATAAAAGGAGCCATATACTAAATAACAGAAACTGTGTACTAACACTAGCAAACAAAAAGTTCAATGTACATTCTCAACAGTCCTTGTAATACAAAAGGATATTAGAGTCAGAGGTTGCTAGCACGACTCATCAGGGAGTTCAGTCTTTACCATCGGCTAGCTCATCCTCTTGAAGCAGACAGAGTTTAGTAATGGGTCTGTCCAAAATGCTGAGACGGACTCGACGAACAAGACCCTTCTTGTCTGGAATCGACTCGATTACCCTTCCCATCACCCAAGAGTTCCTAGGTGCAGAGTCATCTACCAGAAGCACAACATCTCCTGAAGTGAAGTTCCTTGAGTTTCTTAACCATCTTTGCTGCTCCTGGAGCTGGGGAAGGTATTCTCGAGTCCAACGTTTCCAAAATAGATCGGAAATGTATTGGACTTGTCTCCACCTCCGCTGAACGTAGAGATCTTCCTTGTCAATAGGCCAGGTGGCAATGATGGTTTGGTCTTCAGCAATATAAGGTGGTTGGGCATCAAGGCTTCCAAGTCGTTTGGGTCTTTGGACGCTCTTGTGATTGGTCGGCCATTAATCATAGCCTCCACTTCACAAAGCACATCCTGAAGGCTTTCCTCATCCAGAACTTGTTCTTTCACTGTAGAGTTCAAGGCTTTCCTCACCGATCTAATCAGTCTCTCCCAGACTCCCCCATGATGAGAGCCGGTGGGAGGATTAAATGTCCACTTGATCCCGTGCTGATGAAGGTAACCTTGAATCTTTGTGTGATCCAACTCACTGATGGCCATTCTCAGCTCGCGTTCTGCCCCAATGAAGTTTGTCCCATTGTCAGAACAAATCTCCTCCACTTGCCCTCTCCTGGCCACAAAACGACGTTCGGCGTTGATACATGAATCTGTATCCAAGGACGAGGCGACTTCTATATGTATCGCTCGTATGGTCAAATCAGTAAAAATAACTCTGTATCTCTATACTAAGCTCCGCCCCCGCTTGACCTCGAATGGTCCAAAATAGTCAACGCCTACCCTGGAAAAGGGAGGATTGTCTGGAAACACTTTGTCTTGAGGAAGATCCGCCATTACTCTCTTCAGGATCATCTGATGTAATCTCTTCACAGCCTACCAGGTTCTTTGGCCATTCCTCCATTGGGCTGTAGAGAAAATCTGGACCAGAGATCCATGTGTCATTTTTCATGAAGGCCTCCACCCTTTGTCCTCTTGATGCACAGTCTGCTATGTTCTTGGTGGTGGTCACATGTCTCCATTGTTCGACTGTGGCGTCTTTCAAGACAGTAGAAACATGATTAGCCACAAATGTGCGGAATCTTGTGGTTTCATTTTGGAGGTACTTGAGTACAGCTGTACTATCAGTTCAAAATACTGAGTCATCCAGCTCCAGCTGCAGCTCTCTCCTCAGAACCTTATCCATTTTCACAGCGACTGTTGACACAGTCAGCTCCATTCGTGGAATGGTCGGTTGCTTAAGAGGTGCCACTCTGGCCTTCCCCATCATCAGGACGCAATGCACTTGATCTCTTTCATTTTTCAAGAGCAGGTAGCTAGCAGTGCCATAAGCATCTTCACTCGCGCCCACGAAGTGATGCAACTGAGCATGTGAGTGACCTCCAAACCCAGCTGGTTTTATGCATCTGTCGACCTTGAAATCTGTCAGTTTAGGAAGTTGTGTCAGCCAGTCTGCCCATCGTTGTTTGACCTGTTCTGGTAAGTCATCGTCCCAGCCAATTTTCATCCTGCTCAGGTCTTACAAGATCATCTTTGCTGTTAACACCACAGGTGCTAGAACTCCTAGCGGGTCGTAGATTGAGCCAACGACTGACAGCAGACCTCTTCTGGTGAAAGGACGATCCTTGATGGTGATCTTAAACTGGAAAGTGTCTGACTCTACGCACCAATGGACACCCAAGGCTCTCTCCATTGGAAGTTTGTCGTGTTCGAGATCCAGATTCTTCATCTCCTTTGCCAGTTCACTATCCGGTATAGAGTCAAGGACTTTGCGGCTGTTGCTGACCCATTTCGTGAGGCGGAAACCGCCTTTGGCACAGATTGCTCTTAGATCCTGGCACATTGAGATGGCGTTCTCCTCTGTGGTCACAAACTTAAGGCAGTCATCCACGTAAAAATTTTGGAGCACTGTGTCAGTCACAGCAGTCTCAAACTCTTTCCTGTGGTCCTCAGCACACTTCCGCAGTGCAAAACTGGCACAACTAGGTGAGGAGGTAGCACCAAACAAGTGGACCACCATTTTGTGCTCGACCAACCTTTGCTCACAGTCACCACCAGGCCACCAGAGGAACCTGAGAAGGTCTGAATCTCCCTCAGGCACCCTGACCTGGTGGAACATGGCCTCAATGTCCGCCATAAATGCCACAGGCTCTTGTCTGAATCGGAGTATGACACCCACAAGACCGCTCGTCAGGTCAGGTCCCTGCAGAAGTTGTTCGTTCAAAGACGTTCCCTGGTAGGATGCACCACAGTTGAACACGACCCTTAACATCTGCTTTACAGGGTGATATACCCCGTGGTGGGGTATGTACCACACCTTGTCATCCCTACGTCCAAGCTCTTCACCTGACACCTGCACTGCATACCCTTTGTCAATGAGGTCTGCCATGAAAGCAGTGTACTCTTTGTGAACGCTGGGGTTCCTGTTTGAACTTCCTTCGTAAGTTAGGTGCTCATTGTTCAGCTATCTTACGGTTATTTGGCATGTTGACCATCTGGTTCTTCAGGGGTAGACATACAATATAATGCCTGTCCACAAGTTTAGCTGATTCCGAGACCATGTCCATGAATCGATGATCTTCTCTGGACATCTCAACTTGTTTGTCTTTTCCTCTCTCAGGAAAATCCAGCTTAAATTGCTGCTGCCACAAGTCATCAAGCCGTGTGATGGATATGCGGTTTGCTGTAACCTTGTAAGTTTTCCCCTTTTGTTGGTTAACAACATGTTCCTTGAGCGGTCCATTTACAGTCCATCCTAGCCTTGTTCTCACAGCATACGGTCCATCATTAACACTGTTCATGACCTCCCATGGCTCCATGGCCTTGTACGCATTGCATCCGATGAGCAAACCAACTTCTGCATTGATTTCAGGAATATGTACATCTTTAAGGTAAGACCATTGTCTCAAGTCCTTTTGTCGTGGTATGTTTTCTCGACTTATAGGAATTGTCCTTCTAGTGAAGACATCAGGAAGCTCAAGGAAGTTGTCCTCTGCTAAGCTGCTGACCTCCAAGCCCGACGCCTCATGAGCAGCAACAGGTTTCTCGTCACCCATGGTTCTCAATAAAATACTCGTCCTCCTACCAGTGACCGTTAGTTGATTCATCAATGTCTCTGTGCAGAAGCAGTTTGTGCTCCCTGGGTCGAATGCATATGTTTCCACCATTTTACTTCCTTTAGTTGTTTTGACCTGGACAGGTACTATAGAGAGTGTACACTCCTCTCCGGCCCCAGTGACTCCACAGGTTTTATTTCCAGCACAGACCAATGCACTGGTGACTGAATGGCTGTCGACATTATCATCTTTTTTATCTTCCTGTTCCCCTGTATCATCTCGTTTTTTAAAGCGCAGAAGAGTAGGGTGCATCAAGGAACACTTCTGGCAGCACAGCTTCTCTTTGCAGTCTTTGCTCATGTGGCCATGCTTCAAACAGCCAAAGCACAACCCCTTGCCTCGCAAAAAGTCAACTTTCTCTTTGTGTGGCTTGCTTCTTATCTTCCGACATGACTCTAGGCTGTGCTCTCCTTTACAAAAGATACATGGTTTCTTCAGAGCACTGTCGGACATAATGTGTAACTTGTGCACACTTGGCTCAATGTCTCTCGTGGTGTCTTTGACCTTACAGTCCATCTGCAGAGCACTAGTGGTGAACGTTATGTTACTTCCACTGTTCTTCTGTGCCTTGGAATCTGCATGCATTTTCATAGATGGTTTGGCTGGTGCACTATCTTTTATGTCACCAAAAATTGGATGCATGGTGATTTTGGCTTGTTTGTGGATGAAGTCAGCAAGGTCTTTGAAGTTGACTCTCCTGTCCTGTTGTTCTTGGATATCACATGCCAAAGACCTCCATCTTTCTCGCAATTTGTATGGAAGCCTTGTGACTCTGGTTTTCATGTTGCCGTATGAACATATGGTAGTTAAGAGGATCTCCTTTGAAAGTAGGAATGTCCAACGACGGTAATGTAGACCCTCTATGTTGTTTCATCATTAACTCTGTAATGTTGGTTTGTTGCTGCATAACACTGCATAATGTCTCCACAACGTCATCATTCCTAGTAGTATTTCTACTTGGTTGCCTTGCATGATCAGGGTTACTTGGTTGTAGTTGGGGAGGCCAAAATGGATCATCTCCCACATGGCTGAGTTGTTCATGCCTTGCTCCTGATGCTAAACCTCCTATTTCCACACCCGACTCGTGAATTGGATTCCCTGGTGACATGCATCCAGTCGCAAAGTCATCCAAAACTTTGAGTTTGGCATCTGAAGCAGCAATAGCAGTTTCTATTTCCAACTCCTCTTTTTTTGCCTTTAATCCAGCTTCCTGTTGTTCCAAATCCTGTTTCCACTTCAGCCTTAAGGCGGGCAGATGAAGCAGTGGACGAGACAGACCTCCCAGATTCAGATCCACGTTTACTACTCCTTCTACTTGTATAGGATACACTATCCATAGGTTTCACACCTCTTCGTCACATGTCTTTGCTTGTTTTACATATTCTTCGACCATCTCAATCCATTTTTCAGCTTTCGCGATGAACATGTTAAATTCACTTGCTTTGGGTTCATACCAACTACACTGATCCTCTTTAAATTCCTCTTCAGACATGAACTGTTGTAGGGCATAGTTACGCTCTCCAAATTCTCTGACCAACACTTGGTATTCAACTCTCAGCTGCAGTCTTTCAGAGCTTACGTTAGCATCATCATCCATGAGGTGCTCAATCTCCCTAGTCTTGCCCGTTAGCTGAGCAAGCTTATTACTCCTTAACTGTACAAGCTTATTCCTTTTTTCCTCTAAGGCTTTATCCGTCATTTTACTTGCCTCCTTTCAGTGGATGGCTCTTCCACCTGTTCTTGCATTGTAGTGTGTCAATCAAGCTATTAATTGCTTTACAGTATTGCATGTAGCACTGTTAATGCACTTAATCCACGTAAACTTGACAGTCCAAGAGTTGCACTATCAGTGCAGCTATCCAAAGAATTTTCCAGAATCACAGAGATTTTGCCGTTAACGTTAGCTTAACGTTAGCTTAAGTGCACTCAGCAGCTTACCAGACTCCTTTACGGATGTAGGCGACTCCTCATTTCAGTATTTTCCTTTCATAGAAATCCATCCACTTGATGATTCTTATTCCATGAGCTTCTTTTTCCGCGAGGAGCGAGTTTTCCGGCTATTGTTCTGTCCAAAAACCAAAATGAGAGAGCAAGCCTTAAGTTGACACGTGTTTCTTCTCCGTCAAAAATAACTCACACTGAATCCTCTTCTTAGGGAAAACAAAAATGTTTGTTTATTGATCCACGTTGTCTTTACAGTATAAACTTGCTCAAAAATACAAAATCCACCAAAATATCTACATTCCACAACACGGTCGGAAAACTGGGGCTCCACTCTCCACACATGAGCAACTAACTAACTTTTCTCCTCTGTCCATGCATGGCAAAGCTGCCGGTCTCTTCTTAACGAGACAGTAACATATTTCTCCTAGTGACTTTACTTCTAACTCACATGCATAAATGTAAATAGTTAACACTACTAAGTATTATAATTGCACAGATTAACATGCATTGTACAAATTAAACAAATAACATGTACATATGTAAATATTGTAAATATGTGAATACTGCATGACTGTTAAATATGAGTTTGGCTCCTACATATGCTTTTCCTGCTATGGCAAAGCAAAATGTCTGCTGTGAAAAAGGTCTGTTATATCCATATATGTGGATGTTACAAGTCAGCTAGTCCCCACACCGCTGGTGAATGGGACAGTGGTTGTGAAGTTCAAATGGACCAGTTCAACAAAATCAGAGGACAAAGATGGACACGCTTCTGTCTCCTCAGGGAGAAGATACACTGCTGTGCTTTCTTGACCAAAATCTCTTCTCTATCAACAGTTTTCAGCAGAATTAGCAGCTCCTTCAAAAAAGTTACATCCATGACCCTTCGAGTGGACAAGAATGTCCATTTTCTAGAAACTTTTGTAGTGTCCAACAAAAGGTCACAGGGGGGTGATTTTTGGCAAAAGGAGGGGGGAAAATCCCAATTTTCAGCATGAAAATCCATTATTTGAACCTGTAATGCATTTTTATCCTATCCATAACCCTTCAAGTGGACAGAAATGTCCACCTGTCCTTTAGCCATTTGTCATTGTTGCTATACCATCCATTTATCATGGATGGGATAAAAATACATTACAGGGTCAAATAATGGATTTTCATGCTGAAAGTTGGGATTTTTAAATTTAACCCAAAATTACCCCACCCTTGACAAAAATCACCCCCCTGTGACCTTTTGTTGGACACTTTCTAGAGAATGGACATTTCTGTCCACTTGAAGGGTCATGGATGGGATAAAAATGCATTACAGGGTCAAATAATGGATTTTCGTGCTGAAAGTTGAGATTTTGAAATTTCACCCAGAATGACACCCCCATGCAAAAAGTCACCCCCCTGTGACCTTTCATTTGTCTGTGAGGGAGTTTTGAATTTTGGAAATGGACAAAAATGTCCAGGGGTAACACAAGGATTAAGCGTGGTAAGAAGCCATAGGTCAGTGTCCAATCAGGAGTGAGCAGTGCCTTCACTGCCTTTGTTGCTGTCAACAAAGGCAACGGTGAGGCGATTCAGGGACCTATGGCTATTGTAAATGTCCCCAGTGAGTTTTATACTGACAGCAAAAGAATAATGAATGTGTTTTACAATGCTTTTATATTGATTTTGTTTGTTAACCAGGGTTGATTCTTCAGTGCTCAATACTTGTGTTTTTTAATGCCCAAATGTGCCTTGGATGAAATTCTCCAGATTTAATGGTCTACTCTCTTTTTCTATTTTTATCTCAAAGCTTACAGATGTGTTTCTTATGGTCTGTTTGACCCCAGTGACTCTGTGCCATGGTCTACAAAATTTGGTGCGTAGTACAAATTCATTTGTTATTTTAACATAGCTTTTCTTAATACATATAAACATAGCAATACAATACACGTAAGACATTTAAGACAATAAATTGCAAGAAAACAATCCATTTCTCTGGTAAAAATGGTATTAAATATTTATTTGCATTTCACAGTATCATTACTTATGATAATATATATTCAAACCCAGGATGGGGGGTTCAAATTGAATTTCCCCTCGGGGATTAATAAAGTATATAAAAAAGTATATATAAAAAAAAAAAAAACCTATAGGATGGGGGGGCCCTTCTGTGCAGAGTTTCAGCGTGGGTTTTCTCCGGGTGCTCCGGCTTCCTCCCACAGTCCAACGACATTCAGGTTGATTGGTGGCTGTTAATTGTCCTTAAGTGTGAATGTGAGTGTGAATGGTTGTCTGTCTCTATGTGTCAGCCCTATGATAGTCTGGCTACATACCCAGGTTGGCTACATACCCAGGTTGTACCCTGCCTTTTGCCCAATGTCAGCTGATATAGGCTCTAGCCTCCCCGCGACAGGATAAGAGGTTACAGAATATGAATGAATGAATGAATGAATGATAATATTCATCATGGTTTCATGGTTTCTAATTTTTCAATCTTTTTTTTTTCAGACTCTGCAATAACGAAGGTACAATCAGGTAAAGGTCTTTCTCTTTGTTTTAAATTACTTGCAGGAATCCTTAAAAGTACTTTATAGGTCAGTGTAATTTTTCAAACTGACACTGTAAAAAGAAGTGGAGATTTTTTAATAAATTGGGGTGAACATAGTTTTGTTCCTGCCTCTCAAATAACCGAATAATTACATTTAAAAAAGATAGCAATGTGTCTTTCCATAAGCAATGTGTCTTGGAGGGAGCTTTCAAAGAATATGGACACAAAGGGATTCTGCCAGGGAAAATTAATCCTGCCTTAATAAACTTAATCTTTGTTAAAATCACGTGTTACGAGTGTCACATTCTTAAGCACACCTCTAAACCTTTTAACAGCTGACATTTACTGGGGCATTTGATGGAACTGAGCCATCATACGGCCTCATGCTCTCGTCACTGTAAGGAAATTTGTTCCACCCATGCTTTTCCTGCTACAGCAAGGCAAAATATCTGCTGTGAAAAAGGTCTGTTATATCCATATATGTGGATGTTACAAGTCAGCTAGTC